ATATTTATGAAGAAAAAAGTTTGAAAAGTTAATAAAAAAATTATATTTCTTCCAAATGCACAGTGCCAAATTGATATGTGAATCAAACGTTTATCCAAATGATTTTGCGTCGAATGACAAGGTCAAATGTAGAATTATTTGATACTATGAATATGGAATGTCAAATCCATGAAGAATAGAGACCTCTCTATTCTTCATGGTCAAATCATAATCGTCAACAGTTTGCTCGGTTCGCTACCCCCGGATACTTACCCGACAAAAGTCAGTAATTCGAAAAACGCAATTATGTACTCGATTGTACATCGTTAGTGCATGATTGTACCTATAAAATTTTTGTTTGTACATCAACTCATTAATTTAAAAAAATTAATTAAATTTGGGCATGATCTTAGCCGACAACAAATTAAAAATTGATCAATAAAACCAAATTAGGGGTGTTTTCCGAAGAAAATCGTTGGTACATTACGAATTTCATGTTTTCGTCGTTTGTACATTGATTGTTAATGAGTTAAATCTATTTGAAAAATCATGGTCTAAGTTGCGCGTCCCTATATTATCGACTTCTGCGCATTGTTCTGTGTCTAAATGGGTTTTCCCAGATCCTATCACTGCTACTCGTTAATGTATATAGGGGGCAGTGCGGTAAAATGGACGCTTATGATTTTTTTCAAATGTTTATAAATTAGGAACAAACTGAAAAATTGAGCTCCACCTAAGGGATTCATAAAGGAGAAGGATTTTACTCTCAATTGAAGCAGAATCAAATTTTTATTTCCTCAAAATTATAGTGAATGCATTTCCATACGATTAATTCGAATGTACGGACATTCCCCAATAATGCTTTTCAATAATACTCCACTCCAAAAATGACTCTCCACTGCACTCCGAAATGAACATGGTGGTTAAAAATGAATTGTCCCCTCTCGCCGCGGCCCCTCTCACCTGACTTGTTATGACGTAGATGCGCGCAATATTTCTTTCAATGAAAGTTTGATGAAGAATCTACATTTCAATAGTACAATTTCTGTTAGATTCAATGTTTATACTCGTAAAGCAAAGCAATAAGCAATAATAAAGCAATAATGCAATAAAAACCCATTTAAACACAGAACAATGCGCAGAGGTCGATAGTATAGGGACGCGCAACTCAGACCATGATTTTTCAAATGGATTTAACTCATTCACAATCAATGTACAAACGACGAAAACATGAAATTCGTAATATATAAACGATTTCCTTCGGAAAACACCCCTAATTTGGTTTATTGATCAATTTTTAATTTGTTGTCGGCTAAGATCATGCCGAAATTTAATTAATTTTTTTAATTAGTCAGTTGATGTACAGACAAAAATTTTATAGGTACAATCATGTACTAACGATGTACAATCGAGTACATAAGTGCGTTTGTCGAATTACTGACTTTTGTCGGGTAAGTACCCGGGGGTGCTTGTATCATACCTTAAGATTTTGTTCTATTCGCACGCCACTCTACATGGATGCCGGAAACATCGTCACCCCTGGACCTATTCGCTGACAAACATTGGCTAATTGGGTGCACATTAGGATTTCGAGATTATCCCGACCCTAGTAATAGGCTAGCTCCCTGGAACATAGAAGGTGGGAGTGGAGAAGGAGTTCCTTACGGCGGCCATTCCAACAAATGACCTAACCCCAGACTTCTTTTTTGCTTTCAGATTTTATTTTTGGAGCTGTTGGTGCCAGAGGGTTGAGTAATGGCAGGAGGGTTCAATGAACTTCGTGAAATTACGTCACAACCAATACTTGTGCATATCATTCCATTAATAAAGTTTAATAATATCCACGCACTATAAAGGGAAATCTCTACAGATTGAAGCTTCTCGTACTCTAATCGACACGGGGGTAACAAGCAATTAGAAAGAAAAATTTAGACCTTCAATTTTTATACGATTAGAAAGCTTAAATTCAGAAGTAAATAAAAAAAGTTCGGTCTATAATGATGGTAAAATAATTGAATAGACCTTCAAATGCTACGTTAATGCAATATAATGCGATTGAACTAAATCAATTCATTTTGCGCAATGTAATCGCTTTTGAAAGTACTATTTCAACACAACAGAAAATTCGACAATGAAACAATCAAATAAATTTCTTGAACTTATGAATTTATTGCTTTTGAAATTAAGACAGGATTTCATGTACAATTTATCATTTTTATTCGAGATCCAGTACTTCGTCGTACATGACTAATGCTGTATAATGCTAGGGACATTTTCAGATTACTTAAGCCCAAGATCATTTAGTGGACACCCTAGTACGCCTGTTCCATGCAAAATTAGAGCCATATGATCGTGCCTTCGGAGCTGAGTGGTTTGGCTTTTGGACGAACCATTTCCATTTCATCTTCTCGCAGTGTTCAATAGCGTCTTCTTTCGTTTGGAATTCACATTTGAGATTTGATAGTGGATCACCTCTGAAAATTGGAATTATTGTATTAGTTTACTTTATGCATAATAATAATAATAATAATAATAATAATAATAATAATAATAATAATAATAATAATAATAATAATAA